TATAAATTCATATACAAATTCTGATGTCTGTTCATAGTGGACTATGAGAGATGTACATTTATGTTTCAATAATATACAATATTTAACTTTTGTCCTCAAAAAACCAGCTTGTGTGATTAAATAGGAGATTGCTATTTGTGATACAATATTTATTTTCTATAAATATTGTGCTTGGTATTTATCTGTTACCAAGAAGTTAAAGTGAAGACCCAGACAAAAATAATTATCTTAGGTTCTTTAGGCTGTGCAGTGTATATGTGTGTGTGTATATATACTGTGTATATATATACTGTGTATTATGTATGTATATATATATATATATATATATATGTATATATATATATATATATATATATATATGTTGCCATCAACCTTTTTTATTGACAAAACATGGAAATTGTGCTGACAGAGCACATTTTTTTTACTAACAACCTGAAATATCACAAAAGCTAAAACAACATTTTGACAAAGCTCCAGATGGTCCACATTGGCTCACAACTGATCTGATCCAAAAATATTTATACAGAATGAAGGTGATTAAAGCACCTGGACTGGATGGTATACACCCATGCCCATTTAAAGAATTGAGCTCATTTCAAAGCCATTGTTTCTAATCTTTAGGGACTCTTTAATGACTGACATAGTACCACTGGATTGGTGTAAGGCCAATGTGGTGCCAATATTTAAAAAGGGATCAAAATCTTTACCAAGTAAGGAGGTGAGCAAAACCATGGACAGAGGGGGGGGCGTGGATGGATGGTATACTTGGATTTTGCAAAAGCGTTTTACACAGTTCCCCCCACATGGCTAAAACGTGTAAGGTAAAGTCTACGGGCTTGGAAAAATCTGTATGTAAATGGATAGAAAACTGGCTCAAAGATCGTATTCAGAGAGTAGTAGCTAATGATTCATACTGCGAATGGTCTAGGGTTGTCAGTGGTGTACCCCAAGGTTCAGTGTTGGGACCCTTACTTTTTAATATATTTATAAATGATATAGAGTCCAAGATTAAAAATACCATTTCAGTCTTTGCAGATGACACCAAGCTGTGCAGTGGAATAACGTCCTTACAGAATGTCTCCATCTTACAAGCCAACCTCAATGCACTGTTTAATTGGGCAACTATGTGGCAAATGAGGTTTAATATTGATAAATATAAGGTTATGCACTTGGGGGCTAAGAATATGCTTGCATCATACATACTAGGAGGAGTAAAACTGGGGGAATCAATGGTGGAGAAGGATCTGGGAGTTCTGGTAGATTATAAGCTTAATAATGGCATGCAATGCCAAGCTGCGGTTTCTAAAGCGAGCAAAATCCTCTCTTGTATTAAAAGAGGTATAGACTCCAAAGAGAGAGATATCATATTACCCCTGTACAAATCATTAGTAAAACCTCATCTGGAATATGCAGCTCAGTTTTGGGCACCAATTTACAAAGAACATTGGGGAACTGGAGAAAGTGCAGAGAAGGGCAACCAAACTGATAAGAGGCATGGAGAAGAGGAGATTGAGGGGGATATGATCAACATATATAAATACATCAGTTGTTCATATAGTGAACTCGGTGTAGAGTTATTCACACTTATTTACACTCATCACAGAGGACAAGGGGGCACTCTTTACATCTGGAGGAAAAGAGATTTAATCTCCAAATACGGAGAGGTTTCTTCACAGTAAGAGCTGTGAAAATGTGGAATAGACTCCCTCAAGAGTTGGTTCTGGCCAGCTCAGTGGATTTCTTTAAAAAAGGTCTCGATTCTTTCCTAGATACACAGAATATAACTGGATACTAACATTTATAGGTAAAGTTGATCCAGGGAATATCCAATTACCTTTCGGGAGAGCAGGAAGATACTTTTTACCTTGCAAGAGCAAATTGGATCATGCTTTGCTGGGTTTTCTTTTGCCTTCCTCTGGATAAACTGTGGGTATAGGATTATATTTTTTTTTTTTGTTGAACTGGATGGACTTTTGTCTTTTTTCAGCCAGACTAACTATGTAACGTATATTTAAAACCGTGTAAACAAAATGTAATGAACAAAACCCAAAACAATTAACCTGCCTGGCTTTACAATTAAAAAGGCAAATAAGTATGACAAAATATGAACATGCCTTGGATTATTAAATTAAAATTGCTTCCAATGTTAATGGTTTTATATTACCCTCTTCCTTTCCTTTTAGCAGCTAGACACTGAGTATCTTTCCAGAATATGGTACATATAATAATAAACAATTGTGCAACGCTATTATTAAAATCTTTTTAAATAAAAAAAAATATTCTATAAAATATCTCAATATAACCCCCACAAGTGTATACAACACAATCAATGTTTGTTTCAATCTATAAATCCAAATGTGTTGTGAATCCAAATCGGTTTGATGCTCAAAACATTAATTGAAATTCTCCTGTGAAAAAAAAAGTTTTCTTCCAGCATTCACATGTGTTAGCACTATAATGGCATCTTCTCCTCTGTGCTCTTCTATTTGTGTATTCAATTCCATTCAATACTCCAATATTAAATAATAATTAAAGTTCTCTTGTGCCAGATATATGTTTCTTCCACCATTCATGCATGTTGGCTCTATAATGCATCTCCTCCTTTGTGCTCTTTAAACCCCAAAGTGCAGAACACGCACCAGAGCTGTGATCCTTTATTGAATGGGATTGCAATTGCTTATATGTTGGGCTATCCAAGTGACCTTCAATATCCTAACAGACAAGCAATTACAGACCCATGCTATAAAGAGTCAGCCGCTCTGGTGAGTGTTCTGCACATTGTGGTTTGATGAGCACAAAGGAGGAGGGGCATTATATTGTGAACCCTCATGAATGGTGGAAGAAACATGCTCAAGGATGAAATATTTGCAGAAACACCTGTACATAGGCTAATATAATCCATTAAAAATGATCAAGGATGCTCAACTCAAATGTGAATGAAGACTGAAAGTTAGTTTGGCTTAAAAGGGAGTGATTAAACAGAATCTGTGCCTTTGAGGGAGGGAGGAAAGAGAGAGGGGATAGGATAGGTAGGCATAGGGAGGGGAGAGACAAAGAGGGAGAGAGAGAGTTGTGTTTTATAGGCACACTGACTGACTGTAAATGTCATTTAGTGAAAACTAAACTTATGCACAAAAATAATACACATCATGAATCCAACTAAAGAGCATGTACAGACCTATAACTAGTGCTACAGTATCTAGTCAGTAAAGCGTATTTGAATTTGGAAGGGGAATATAAAGGGGGTGGGGATAGCGAGCAGGGGAAGGGGAAAACAAGGAAAGGGGAAGGCTGATAGAGAGAAGGCATTAGCTAGTCACTTAGTACCAAGGAGTGATTGTAATTGTAATGCATACTGAGCCCTTACCACAAAGCAGTGTGTAAGGGCAAGGATGCCATGATGTTCAGATTCAGCCATGACAGTTTGTAGCATAAGTTGGTGAATAGCAACAGTGTGGGTCCTTTCTCGTCATCTCCCGAGGAAGCCTCTGGTACAATACCTAAACTGTTAACTGATGCCAGGATCTTATTATCCATCCATTGATCAGACACACAGACCTCTCCATTACCCAATCCACAATTCCAGTCTAAAAACCCTAATAGAACTGTCACCCTCACAAGCTTGAGTAATTTGGAGACCTAACAGACCTTGGGTCGTAAATACCTCAGTGTAATACACATTTTTGATAGCTTATCAGTAGAGATGAGCGAATTATTCAAAAATTCGGTTTGGCTGATTCACCGAATTCGCCAAATAAATTCGCTTCGAGCCGAATATATTCGCTGCGAATTTAACTTATAAAAAGGGTGTTTCTAGGCTTCAGAGAGCCTTTATATTAGTGCAGAACACTGTACCTTTAATTTAAATGCCCTTGGAGTCTGCTGGGGAAGAGAAATAATACTGTCGGTCAGTATGACATGCAGATGAGTGCCGTCGATCTTAGAATCACCGCACACTTTACTCATTTGGGCAGTCACGGGGCCAAAACCAGAGTGTGGAGCCACAGTGTGGCGGTGGAGGCAGCAGCAATGGGAGGCCATACAGCACCCTATGACAAAATGGAACCCACCAGCAGTGGGAGGAGACCTGAAAGTGGCACATGGCAGAGTGTGGCGATGGAGACAGCAGCAATGGGAGGCCGTACAGGGACCCATGACACACTCTGGACCTGGCAGCAGCATGAGGAGGCGGTACAGGGGCCCATGACAGATTACGGGCCTGGCAGCAGCATGAGGAGGTCGGTACGGGGGCCCATGGCAGATTACGGGCCTGGCAGCAGCATGAGGAGGCGGTACAGGGGCCCATGGCAGAGTGGCAGAGCGTAAGCAGCTAAAATTGAAGGCCATACAGAGGCCTATGTTAAAAAGTCCCCCCAGCAGCAGCGTGGGGAGACGACTATCAAGAGTCCAATGGCAGAGTGGCGGAGCAGAAGCAGCTTCAATTGAAGGCCATACACAGGCCTAGGTTTAAAAGTCCCTCACAGTTAATTCCAATAACGAACTCTACTCCTCCGTGCAATCTACTTACGAGACCCTGGGCAGGTCTGGGTCCAATTTGTGGTAGAGACTGGTTTTGTTCAGCCATGCTTGAGCGAGTAATAACAGGTCTGTGCTGCCCTTTGGTGTCTGGCTTAATGCGCACAACACTGAACGTCCCAGCGTTTGTCAACGATTTGCCGTTAAGTGATGCAAACCCGCTGAACCACGTTCATAAGGAGCCGGTACAGGGGGCCATGAATCAGTATGGACCTGGCAGCAGCGTGAGCAGACGACAGAGGCACATGGCGCAGGGTGGCGGTGTAGGCAGCATATTCTGAAGCCATACACAGGCCTAGGTTAAAAAGCGGAAGCCGTCAGCAGCGTGAGCAGACGACAGAGACACATGGCGCAGGGTGGCGGTGGATGCAGCAGTATTCGGAAGCCAAACACAGGCCTCGGTTAAAAAGCGGAAGCCGTCAGCAGCGTGAGCAGACGACAGAGGCACATGGCGCAGGGTGGCGGTGGAGGCAGCAGCAATGGAAGGCCATACAGCACCCTATCACAAAATGGAACCCACCAACAGTGTAAGGAGACCTGAAAGTGGCACATGGCAGAGTCTGGCGATGAAGTCAGCAGCAATGGGAGGCCGTACAGGGACCCATGACACACTCTGGACCTGGCAGCAGCAAGAGCAGGCGGTACAGGGGGGCCCATGGCAGAGTGGCGAAGCGTAAGCAGCTTAAATTGAAGGCCATACAGAGGCCTATGTTAAAAAGTCCCCCCAGCAGCAGTGTGGGGAGACGACTATCAAGAGTCCAATGGCAGAGTGGCGGAGCAGAAGCAGCTTCAATTGAAGGCCATACACAGGCCTAGGTTAAAAAGTCCCCCCAGCAGCAGCGTGGGGAGACGACTATCAAGAGTCCAATGGCAGAGTGGCGGAGCGGAAGCAGCTTCAATTGAAGGCCATACACAGGCCTAGGTTAAAAAGTCCCCCCAGCAGCAGTGTGGGGAGACGACTATCAAGAGTCCAATGGCTGAGTGGCGATCCGGGAAGTCAGCGTTGTGATTGCAGATGCAATGCAGAGATTCTATGAGGTGATGCCGTGGGTGCGAAGAAGATCATATACCGTCGTACTTCCATCCATAAGACGGAACAACCTGCGAACCGGGAGCTTTATTGCCCTGACCCGCTGAGCAGCTTCTGGGATACCCAAGAGGCCCATGGCAGAGTGGCGGAGCGTAAGCAGCTTCAATTAAAGGCCATACAGAGGCCTATGTTAAAAAGTCCCCCCAGCAGCAGCGTGGGGAGACGACTATCAAGAGTCCAATGGCAGAGTGGCGGAGCGGAAGCAGCTTCAATTGAAGGCCATACACAGGCCTAGGTTAAAAAGTCCCCCCAGCAGCAGTGTGGGGAGACGACTATCAAGAGTCCAATGGCTGAGTGGCGATCCGGGAAGTCAGCGTTGTGATTGCAGATGCAATGCAGAAATTTTATGAGGTAATGCCGTGGGTGCGAAGAAGATCATATACCGTCGTACTTCCATCCATAAGACGGAACAACCTGCGAACCGGGAGCTTTATTGCCCTGACCCGCTGAGCAGCTTCTGGGATACCCAAGAGTTTGGCTTCTGTGGGGAATATGGTTGAAAACTGAAACTTAAAGGCATGTTGACGGAAGGGCACCAGTGTCAGTGCTCCGGAGGGAATATAGCTTCAAAGCTGACACTTAAAGGTATATCGACGGTCAGAGACCACAGGAAGTGGAGCTTTCGTCTTAAATCGACTGAATGTGGCAGACGTGAAACGTCTACGGGCCGTATATGAAACGGGTTGTTCCTCTTTCTGGAATAAGTGTTGGAAATGGCCACTCTTTTTGGTGTGGCGTTTTGTCTATTTAATTCCGATAACGGACTCTACTCCTCCGTGCAATCTAGTTACGAGACCCTGGGCAGGTCTGGGTCCAATTTGTGGTAGAGACTGGTTTTGTTCAGCCATGCTTGAGCGAGTAATAACAGGTCTGTGCTGCCCTTTGGTGTCTGGCTTAATGCGCACAACACTGAACACTGTGTCCCTGAGTAACGATTCTGTGTCCCTGAGTAACGATTCTGTGGCCCTAAAGTCTCTGTGGCCCTAACTCTGTCCCTTAATACACACAGGTCTGTCTCTCTTGAATGACCGGAGGCTAATGGAGAATTCTAAGATGGCCGCGATTTATAGCTCCACCATTACACAGTGCTGGCTGGCTGCTGATTGGCTAATGCGATCACATGTCATGAATGCATTATGGGTCAGCGCGCCTTGTCTGCGCGCCTTCCCAGAGATCCCCGCCCCATCTTCTCTGTCCATTTTCTCCGTCGCCACACATGTCGCCGCCATTTTTGGGAAAATTCGATTCGTGCATCCGAAGTTTGCTAATCTTCGGATTCGTCGCGAATAGAATTTTTCCAAATCTTCGGAACGAATTCCACTTCGTCATGTTCGATTCGCTCATCTCTACTTATCAGCTAAGATTCTAAAACGTCAGCATGTTTCATAACTTCTGAAATTATGATAGTATCGCCAGAATAAAGTCATATTCACCTTCATCAGTTATTGGGTAGCATTTTGAACCCAAACACCACTGTGCTTAAACCAGATGATTGGTCAGATGGTCTCTTTCAGGTCTCCTTTGATTGTGGTCCTGCGAGCTGGAAAATCTTTGTGCAGGATGCAGCTGAGAGTGGCGTTGTTACGTAAGTGACAACGCGGTGTGAGATCAGCCAGTTCTTTGTCACGAATTGATGAAAAGGGCAGGGGTCAGGCATCGCATTCGTCACAGTGATCAGTATGGGGCACAGAACATTATTATTATTATACAGTATTTATATAGCGCCAACAGTTTGCTCAGTGCTGTACATTATAATGGGAGACAGTACACGAGACAGTACAGTAACAATACGATTCAATACACGAGGGGTTCGAGGGCCCTGCTCCTTGGAGCTTACCATCAAGGAGGGAGGAGATAGTGGTAAAGGAGGAAATAGCTGTGGGGGATGGAGTGGTAGGAAGAGTGGAGGAGTTCAGTAATTAGCTGAGGGTGGGGTAGGCTTCCCTGAAGAGAGAGGTTTTCAGAGTGTGCCTAAAGGTGAGGAGAGTAGGTGATAGTCTGATGGATTGGGGTAGGGAGTTCCAGAGGATGGGGGAAGCCCTGGAGAAGTCCTGGAGACGGGCATGGGAGGAGGAGACCAGGGAACTAGAGAGTAGGAGGTCTTGTGAGGAGCAGAGAGTACGTATTGGGTGGTATTTGGATACCAGATCGGTGATGTAGTTCGGGGCAGTGTTATGAATAGCTTTATACGTCAAAGTTAGCATTTTGAATTTTATCCGTTGGGCAATCAGAAGCCAGTGGAGGGATTGGCAGAGAGGGGTGGCGGATATGGAGCGGTTAGTAAGGTGGATGAGTCTTGCCGCAGAATTCAGGATAGACTGAAGCGGGGTTAGCCTGCGGTGAGGTAACATAATCCCTAAAACATTTTACACTACACAAGTACATATGCTCTCCACTCCAACAGTTTACAGCCAGTCAGAATGGAAAGTATACACTTTTTGCACACATTAATGGACTGTTGGCAATTTAAACACACTATTTCCTTTGTATATGTCAGTTTTGCTGCAGTTGACTGTATACATCAAGCAGATTTGCCACTTCACTTAAATGTACTAATTATATGCTGTACTGCAATTGTAGGTCCTACAACCTAACCCAATAAGAAAACACTTATACACACAAATTCCCATCTGCTTTATTAATTTATTTATTTCAGGTACTTATATAGCGCTGTCAATTTACGTAGCGCTTTACATATATATATATTGAACATTCACATCAGTCCCTAACCCTCAAGGGGTGTACAATCTAAGGTCCCTAACTTACATTCATACATACACATATTAGGGCCAATTTAGACAGGAGCCAATTAACCTACCAGCATATCTTTGGAGTGTGGGAGGAAACTGGAGCACCTGGAGGAAACCCACACAAGCACAGGGAGAACATGCAAACTCCATGCAGGAGGCACCATGGTCAGGAATCGAACCCATGACCCATTTACTGCAAGGCAGATGTGCTAACCACTAAGCCACTGTGCCGCCCATCAAATCTGTTGAATTGAAAGTGCTATGAAGGAATGGTGACTTCTTTTGATACCCATTATTTTGTCAGTTAACCATAACCACTCATGGTTGTACATGGGAGTTAAAAGTAAACCATCTTTCAGACCATGTTCCATGTTACACTCATTGGTAGTTCAGAGTCCACAGCCACCAGACCCCAAACTACAGAATCCAGGGGTACTTTCCTCCAGCTCCTGTCAAATTTGAATTCAGCTCATGGCCACAAGCAGCGCATCATTCACTATCACTGTGGCAAATGAACTGTAGTTCTCAATGGAGAGCAGATGCGATGATGTCACAGCACTTGCAGTCCATTGGCACTTCAGTATGGTCCTGAACTGGAGGAATAATCTGCAAGAACAAGAGCATTTTACCCACGATCCGCTGATCACGGTCTCAGTGCTTTGCAGGATCAAATGCAAAAACATTTATAAATGGACATTTTGGCTTTTTTGCAAAATTGGTGCATTTATTTTAAATATTTTTGCAAAAGGTGGAATTCTCTTTTAATGAAAGAAATGTTATTGTGGTGCATACACGTCTGTAAACTGAAAAGCGATAAATATGCACATAAACTGTATACAGTCAGGTCCATAAATATTGGGACATCGACACAATTCTAACATTTTTGTCTCTTTACACCACCACAATGGATTTGAAATGAAACAAACAAGATGTGCTTTAACTGAAGACTGTCAGCTTTAATTTGAGGGTATTTACATCCAAATCAGGTGAACGGTGTAGGAATTACAACAGTTTGCATATGTGCCTCCCACTTTTTAAGGGACCAAAAGTAATGGGATAGAATAATAATCATAAATCAAACTTTCACTTTTTAATACTTGGTTGCAAATCCTTTGCAGTCAATTACAGTCTGAAGTATGGAACGCATAGACATCACCAGACGCTGGGTTTCATCCCTGGTGATGCTCTGCCAGGCCTCTACTGCAACTGTCTTCAGTTCCTGTTTGTTCTTGGGGCATTTTCCCTTCAGTTTTGTCTTCAGCAAGTAAAATGCATGCTCAATCGGATTCAGGTCAGGTGATTGACTTGGCCATTGCATAACATTCCACTTCTTTCCCTTAAAAAACTCTTTGGTTGCTTTTGCAGTATGCTTTGGGTCATTGTCCATCTGCACTGTGAAGCGGCGTCCAATGAGTTGTGAAGCATTTGGCTGAATATGAGCAGATAATATTGCCCGAAACACTTCAGAATTCATCCTGCTGCTTTTGTCAGCAGTCACATCATCAATAAATACAAGAGAACCAGTTCCATTGGCAGCCATACATGCCCACGCCATGACACTACCACCACCATGCTTCACTGATGAGGTGGTATGCTTAGGATCATGAGCAGTTCCTTTCCTTCTCCATACTCTTCTCTTCCAATCACTCTGGTACAAGTTGATCTTGGTCTCATCTGTCCATAGGATGTTGTTCCAGAACTGTGAAGGCTTTTTTAGATGTCATTTGGCAAACTCTAATCTGGCCTTCCTGTTTTTGAGGCTCACCAATGGTTTACATCTTGTGGTGAACCCTCTGTATTCACTCTGGTGAAGTCTTCTCTTGATTGCTGACTTTGACACACATACACCTACCTCCTGGAGAGTGTTCTTGATCTGGCCAACTGTTGTGAAGGGTGTTTTCTTCACCAAGGAAAGAATTCTTCGATCATCCACCACAGTTGTTTGCCGTGGTCTTCCGGGTCTTTTGGTGTTGCTGAGCTCACCGGTGTGTTCCTTCTTTTTAAGAATGTTCCAAACAGTTGTTTTGGCCATGGCTAATGTTATTTCTATCTCTCGGATGGGTTTGTTTTGTTTTTTCAGCCTAATGATGGCTTGCTTCACTGATAGTGACAGCTCTTTGGATCTCATCTTGAGAGTTGACAGCAACAGATTCCAGATGCAAACAGCACACTTGAAATGAACTCTGGACCTTTTATCTGCTCATTGTAATTGGGATAATGAGGGAATAACACACACCTGGCCATGGAATAGCTGAGAAGCCAATTGTCCCATTACTTTTGGTCCCTTAACAAGTGGGAGGCACATATGCAAACTGTTGTAATTCCTACACCGTTCACCTGATTTGGATGTAAATACCCTCAAATTAAAGTGGACAGTCTACAGTTAAAGCACATCTTGTTTGTTTCATTTCAAATCCATTGTGGTGGTGTATAGAGCCAAAAATGTTAGAATTGTGTCGATGTCCCAATATTTATGGACCTGACTGTATATGTTTGAGTTTTTAATATTTTTT